CTGTCTCCACCAAAAATACAAAAAAAAAAAAAAAAAAAAAATGAGCCTAGTGTGGTGGCACGCATGCACTTGTAATCTCAGCTACTCAGGAGACTGAGGTGGGAGGAACTCTTGAGCCCGAGAGGCAGAGGCTGCAGTGAGCCGAGATCGCACCACTGCACTCCAGCCTGGGCGACGCAGCAAGATGCTATCCTCCCCCACCAAAACACCTAAAAACAAACACGAAAAATCCCCAAATGAATCCGTTTAAGTAAAGGCCTACAAATGTAATACTGGAGACCTCACGAACTGTTTAGTGTTCCAATATCCAATCGATTTGAAAACAATTTATAGCTTTGTAGGAAATGCTGTGCTTTGTGAGAAATTCCCTAGTATTTGAGGTGATGATTAAAAAATCAACATGAAGTACATGCTAACTTACTGCCAAATCATTTCAGAAGTAAAATATGAAATTTTTTTCAAATAATTTGCCTTTAAAACAATGTGATTTAAAGCAGGATGTGGGTGCATTTTAATATTTGGTGTGGAGTGGTGGGTGACACCTCAGAGGACCTAGTGCAGTGATGTCCCAGAGAAAGATGAATATAACATGAGCCACGAATGTAATCTACAATTTTCCAGTAGCCACATTTTAACATTACAAGCAGGGGAAAGTTAAATTTATTATCCAAAATAGTATCATTTGAATGTGTAATTGGTATGAAAATTAATGGCATTTACATTAATTTCAAGAGCATGTGTTTAGTTCATTTTTTTTTTTTTTTTGGCACTAAGCCTTTGAAATCTGCTGTTTTAGGTTTACATCTCAATTCCAACAGGCCACAGAGCCTTCAAAGTTACTAACACGCGTCTTAAAGTGACCTGTTTGCCACCACCAGGGATTTGTGTTTCCCAAATCAGGGCAGGGATGATGCTTTGGAGCTCAGCAGTGCTCAGAGGTCCCCACATCGTGGGCGCCAAGGCTTCAGTGTTCCACGAGGAAACCATCGCGGACATTAAGTTTGAAACAGAAAAATCAGGGTCTCACCTCTGACAAATTACCTCCTTTAGCATTTTCCAAGGAGGCCTTCAATCTTCCTATAAAGTGTGTTATTTTTAAGATGATTCTTCTAACAGCAAGAGCAATGTTTTGATTCTACTTCCCAAATATCTTAAAAGCTTAGCAGCAACAGGCAGGGCACGGTGGCTCATGCCTGTAATCCCAGCACTTTGGGAAGCTGAAGAGAGCGGATCACGAGGTCAGGAGACCGAGACCATCCTGGTTAACACGGTAAAACCCCGTCTCTACTAAAAATACAAAATTAGCCGGGCGAGGTGGCGGGCGCCTGTAGTCCCAGTTACTGGGAGAGGCTGAGCCAGGAGAATGGCGTGAACCCGGGAGGCAGAGCTTGCAGTGAGCTGAGATCGCGCCACTGCACTCCAGCCTGGGTGACAGAGCGAGACTCTGGCTCAAATTAAAAAAAAAAAAAAAAAAAAAGTTTAGCAACAGCAAATGAAGGGAGTGGCCAACACTTCGTTTCTTTTAATGAACTAAAGTCTGTGAAATTGAACACAGAGCAAATGCTCCAATGTTGGCACTGAGGCCATTCGCGCCATCTGCTGGCCAGACCTAAGCACAACACCCGGCTCCCAGGGAAAGAACCTTAAGAGACAAGCAGGATCTCCAGTCAGCTTGGTCTCTGGACCTTTTTGTCCCGCCTGTATACCGACAGCACAGCCCCACTGAGCGGGAGACTTCTCATGAACATCATCCTCATTGGCACTTATAGTAGCAGCTACATTTAAACTCTACACCACAGGCCAGCCACAGGGGCACTTTTACGCTTTAACTCTGACGACTCACACAATCATTCTGATAGCTACTTTTAATGTCTCCTATTTTACAGATGAGGTCACTGAGGCTCAGAGGTTTAAATCACATGCTTAAACAAAGAGTAAATCACATATTAGCAAAGTTGGTGACAGAGCTGGAACTGAAGGTGGGCAGTCCAATGCTAAGCACGTTTGTATTTTCAGACAGGCTCTGTCGAGATCTAGGCTCACTGCAACCTCTGCCTCCCAGGCTCAAGCACTCAGGCAATTCTCATGCCTCAGCCTCCCCAGCAGCCGGGATTACAGGCATGTGCCACCATGCCCAGCGAGTTTTTCTATTTTTAGTAGAGCTGGGTTTTGACTTGTTGGCCAGGCTGGTCTGGAACTCCTGGCCTCAAGTGGCCCGCCTGCCTCGGCCTCCCAAAGCGCTGGGATTACACGCATGAGCCACCGCACCCAGCCCCATGTCAATTGCAATGTTATATGGTTATTTCAGGAGACCAAGTGCAGTTATGGCTAGTACTTGAGGTCACTGAGGCTAAGAACTCATCCTAAACCATATAAAAAGTGACAGGAACAGAGAAAAATCACACCCCAGGATATTAAAATAGGTAACACATGCATATATTCTGTAATTTTTTTGTGACTCCACTAAAAGAAATGCTCATTGCAACAACTACATTCATTTCACAACCTACGAAGGGGTCATGAGTGAATTTGGAAAAGGCTGGCTTAGGTGCTCCTGCGTGTTCAAGAATGTGTTTAGTTCATGTTTTAAAGTCTCTCCTTCCAAAGAGACTAAAATTTTGGTTGAATGAGAAAAACAAAAATTTCCTACATGACTCAGATTTTTTTGAGACAGGGTCTTGCTTTGTTGCCCAGGCTGGTCTAGAACTCCTGGCCTCGAAGTGATCCTCCCGCCTTGGCCTTCCCAAGTGTTGAGATTCCAGGCGTGAACCACTGCGCCTGGCCCTTGCTGTTTACTTTCTCTTGGTAGTTATTTTCTGGTGAAAGCCAGAGAGCTCACTGCCAGCAGGCCAGGCACTTGCTGCATCCTTTGTTCTCCCTCTACCAGAGGATCCTCTGGCATGAAGCTAACCCGAAAATGGGGTGAGGCAGGTGGGTTCAGTTGGCGCCTTTGACTGAGAGGGTTTTCACAGGCAGGCTTACATGCACACGTGCACACACGTGAGCACAGGCTTACAGACCAGACCGCTGTCTCACACACATCCATCACAGCTCCATCCTGCTTCCAACCAAACACGACAGGAACCAAGTGCACCTTCCTGTACCCACCCTAAATCCCTGCCACCTTGTTTCAGCAGCATCTTTATACAAAGTTCTTCCCACCAGGCCCTGTTCCCACAGTGAGGAACCAGGGAAGTGATGTTACACCAAAGAGTGGGAGGAAAGCCAGGCAAAACCAAGCAGAAAATCAAGGGAAAGGTCAGTGTTCACGGTGGCATCCTGGTGGCCGGCAGATGGCAGGTGTATGTTCATTGCCAAAACCCTTTCCACTTTCTTGTATGTTTTAAAATTTTCATATGTTGGAAAAAACTAAGTGAAAGAACACAATTGGTCTTCTCCATGAGGTTTATATACTTTACTTTCAGTGAAAGCAGCTCTGTTTCTAACAGGGTGTGCAGTAAATATTTAATGGCAGGATGACGTGACATTTATTAAAACAGCCACGATTACACTAGTATATCTTTGAACTAGAAGATGCCATCAAACTTATGAATACTTAATGAGCACCTACTGCATGCAACTTACAGGTGACTGCAGAGATGTTGAAGTTTAAGATGAAGAGTTCCTCTAAGTCTTCATATGCATTTTAGGAAACATGAAAACAAATATTTTAAGCAGCTTCATGATCTCAGTGAATATTTCCTAGATCCTCATTAGCAAATATGCAGTGTGCTAAAGCTTTGGGTCCTGGCAGCGGAGAAATGAGTCTTGGCCTCATCTAGGGCTCACATCCTGGTGGCAGCGAAGAGCCCCCTGACCCCAGCTTCTGACAGCCCAAGTCCAATCTTGGACTTATGCACATATTTTATATTTGCCAATTACAAAAACTGTCCCCTTCAGGAGGCAGTAAGGTCCCATCCTGGGAAAGCGTACTCTAAAAGGAATGCAATTTAGACTCATTTTCCACCCTAGCCTGTCACTAGGGCTGGCAAAAACAATGAAACTCTGGCTAAGCTAAAGCTGACAAGTCTATTCCCCCTCATATGAAAGTTGGCTGCTGAGATAATCAAGCTTCCATCTCCCCTCACAGCAGTCTTATACTTGCTAGCTAGATCTTCCCCACGTTGATAAGACCACAGGTCTGATTCATAAAGTGAAGAGAAAAATGAGCTGGAAACGGTTAACCTGAAAATTCAGATATTTTTCTAGTGCACCTGCCTTTTTATCTCTAAAAAATAAGTTTTTAGGCTAAAAATTAGGGCTGGAGAGTGAGTGGGTCTGAATTCATTTGTGACCTACCAAAGAATTTAAACCAGAGTGCAGACGGTCTCTTCCAGTAGAAAATTTTATTTTCATTGTTTTTTATGAGGAGGCAAACACATCTTACAACATTATCAATACTAGAATTTCACACTCAGCAAGTCAGACTTCACACATTAGTCCAAACAGGAAGGCCTAAGCAGCATTTGAGATCACAGGTGAAAAATACAGTGATAGACCCAAAAGTCACACGGTAAGCTGAATTTCACTTTGAATACTTACCAACCAGGAATTTTAAATTACACAATATACAAAAGCAACAGCCAAACAACCACTACCGAAGGTATGAGTTCAGGGCAATTCCCATGCAGGGGACCTGGGTTCTAACTTGAAAGTCACACAAGTGTCACCCACAAATGGCCTGTCACCCAGCACAAGTAACGGTCCCCATTTGAGTCACTCGGAAATCTGAGCAGCAGGGCCAGAAAGCACTGGGGATGTTGAAGATGGGAATGAGGGAAGCTAGGAAAAACACATTCAAACTCTTCCCACCAGGGCTCACAGAGGCTGCCGCTCCCCGTGGCAGAAGTGAGTGCAGCTGGGGGACCCCTTTCCCCTAAGGTTGCTGCGTTTCCCAGAGGTTGTCTGAAATCTCAACTCAAAACCCCACGCTGATGCTGGGCAGGACGCATGTTCCTGAGGTTACAGGGTGGGAAAGGGGAGAAAAGGACAAAGGAAGCTCGGAAAGCAATCTGCAAGACTTTATTACAAAATACAGCACGGGGCTCACAGACGCTTGGCCAATATTCTCTAACACATACACTGAAGCACTGCAAAATCCCGGGCGGTGCCCGCAATCTAACGTCTATAGTAACCTCAACCCCCTTAGAGTTACAGAAAAACTCTGCAACAGGCAGTGGAATGGAGAGACGGCAAGTCGCCGCGGACGCCTGGGCTCTCGGCTGCTCAACAATGACATCGTTTTCTCCAAGGGTTGAAATCCATGTCCATGGCTGACAACCCAACAAGGCTGGGACCCAAATTCGTATAGAGATGAGGCAGAGTGGAGAGAACAACTCTGGCCGGGCCAGAGTCTCCAGCCACTACTTCTTATTCCGGGGCTTTAGCTCTTCGGCTGCATTACGCAGGAAAATGTAATTTTTTTTCTGGGGATTATAAAATTCATGTCCCTAAAGAGAACAAAAAACACCAATGATCTTATTATTCAACAGAAAGCGTTTGTAGGTGCTTTTTCTAGGTGAAGTCCTGTGCTACAATACTGGAAGCATAATCTCTCAGAGAAATAAAACAACAAAGATAAAGTTAAATGTGAAGCAAAACTTCAGTCCTCAGAGAAAGGCCTAAGGACGTGTTGGTACCAGTGTGTCATCCATGTCCTGCTGAGAGAGTCTTCACAGGTTTGTGTTTTCGACACTGAGCCCCCTTTTAACACCCCAGGACTTTAACGCCAAGATAACTGCCTTGGGCCCCTTGGTCAGCATTAGCTCTGACCTGAGAATGTTTCACGGAAAGGAGGACATCTGACCTGTGAGTATCATGGGGACGAAGGAGGACATCCCGCCCCACACAGAAGGAGCGACAGACACAGAGTGCAGCAGAGGCATGCACGGTGGTGAGGGATCCAGAGGCGTGTGCAGAGGTGTGCGCGTCTGCCCAGGCCCACACTGGAGGGGTGCAGGGCTACAGAGCATCGAAAGACCCCTGAAATCAGGAAGAGGCCATACTACAGGGCTGTGAACGGCAGAGGGAGGCCTTTGAATGTTATTCCCCAGGAAAAAGGAGGCCGAGGGCAGGTCAGTGATGTGATCACATTTCAGTTTTAGGAAGAGAGGCGAGTGGGGTGGGCCAGGCAGATGATCTGGGAGAGAGACAGCAGGCAGGGGCCACAGGTGGGCCAAAGACCTGGAAGACGGAGGTGGGGCGTGGTGCCGGGTGCACTCTGTCACCTGTACTGTGATGACACGTTTTTATTCTCTTCCCAACAGGCACGCCAAGAAAGCTCTAGAAGTTTTGCTCAACAGTGACCACTAATTCTCATAATATACAAAGTGTAGTTTTTCTGAACAGTTACTCAAGCAGCAAGCTAATAACATCAATCATGTGTGATCATGACTTTGCACTAGATAACTGTCCTTGAACTAAGAGCAATGAAAAACCCCTGAAGCAAATTTCTCTTTTAAACTAAGGAGATTCTAATTTTTGTAACCCCCACAATAAGCTGACATTAACTGCTTAAATGAATTAGATTATTTCAATTTTTAAATAGCACTCAGAGCAATTACCTTTCTCACTGCTTTCAATTTATTACTACGTTTTTTAATGCTTATAATGTATAGAGTCCCGAGTGTCATTTAAGTTAAAATAGAGAATTTTGATGCAGCTGCTGGGACAAGGACGCAAAGAGAAGATTCAATAAAGAGCCCAATGTGGGAGTTGAGGCCTCGGGCTCCACGCATGCCACAGCCTGTCCAACCTCAGCCAGGCAGAACCAAAAAAGTACACTCGTCACAAAACTGAGTGCATGGCTTACACAGGTGAATGGATAAACAAATGGCACACCCTACCTGGGAATACTATGCAGCACTGAAAAGTAACAGACGAGTGATTCACTCAACAGCACGGGTGAATTTCAAAATCCTTATGCTGAGGGAAAGGAGCTGGGGCAAGGGGAAAATGTAGTGTAGGGCTCCACTTACAGAAAATTCTAGAATATTCAGACTAGTCCATAATGCCAGAAAACAGATCCATGGTTGTGTGTGTGTGTATGGGAAGATTACAGGAACACACACAAAAACCTTTCGGGGAGATAACTGTGGTGATAGTTTCATGGGTATTTACAGATGTTGAAACTGATCAAACTGTACTTTAAACAATGACTGCATTTCAACTGTACCTCAATAAAGTTGCTTTAAAAAAAATACAGCTGCATGGCTCACACAGCAAACCCTCAAACGGGGAAACACAGAAGCAGCAGCAGGCCTGGAGGATCAGAGGGATGGAAGGCAATCAGCTGGACTTCTGTGTCTATGTTCAGGGCCTCAGGTAAGGTGCAGCCACACTCCTGAGACTGGGAAATACTAAAGGTGGAGTGGGCAGGGCCGGAACCAAGGGACGTCTCCAGTCACTGGCTTGTGTGGCAGCAGGTGTCTTGGGAATGCAAAGCACTGGTTAGAGCCCTGTGGTGGCCCCCCAGGGTAAGACGGCGAGAGGTCAGCAAGGCAAGAGGGGCCAAGAGACAGGAGCTGGCAGGAGGATGGAAACCACAGCCCGAAGCAGAATAAACCAGGACATGGCCAAGCAGTAGTGAGGAAAGCTGTGTGGAAGAGGAAGGGACAGGTGAGTGCCCGGCACAGACAGAAAGGAAGCTTCTGGACTGGACAAGGAGGATGTGGCCACGGGGACTCTGAGTACAGCTCTAAGAGGCCAGAAAGTACATGGCAGTGGACTGAGGAGGAGACCGAGCACAGGGAACCAAGAGGGTAGGTGCTGACACCACTCTCTCTCGATAGCCTTAACATACAGGGAAACGGCTCCTCGAGGCTTCCGTGCTTAGACAGAGGGGAGGAGCTGGTGAACGGGGACAGAAGACAGTGGGAGAAGGCCCAGAAAAGAGCCGTGAGGGTGGAAGGAGGTGGGGTCAGCACAGGTGGACATGAGGTGAGCGGGAAAGACACTGCAGGCCACTAGAAGCCCCTCCTATGTGAAGCAGGCGACCTCCCCATCGGAAGCCAGGGCAGGGTAGGTAGGGAAAAGTCTAGAAGGCTGCTGTGGAGCAAAGGGCAGAGTGGGGTGGGAGGAGAATGATGAAAACCACAAATACAATGATGACAACCTCTCCAGAAGAGCTGAGCAGTGGAGAAACACGCAGGCTGGCTGAAAGCCAACACACTTCCCATGGGGCTGGGCTTTGAGTACCCGAGTCTACACATTTCACCATCACTCCCAAAGGCCTCAAAATTGCAGCCCCGCTCCTGCCAGCTCCTAACTCCCCCTGCGCAAACTACCCAGCTAACCAACCAACCAACACCACCCAGGCGAAAGCTCCATGACCCACCCTGCCACCCCCTTCATGAAGTGCAGCCCCTGGCTTGCCTGTGCTTCTGTGCCCAGGAACAGAGCAGCCCATAATGGCTCACACTGGCTGACTGCTTCCTGTGTGCTGGGTTCTGGCCAAAGGCTGTACTGAATTCCCACAACCATGTGAGGAAGTCCTGCAATTTCCCCTTACAGGGAGGGGACGGTGACCTGCCCAAGGACACATGTGAGTCCTGAGAAGAGTCACAACTCAGGCCTAGGCCTTCTGAACCCAGAACCTGGCTCTACTAACTTGGAGCGCCCGGGAGTTCTCACCTTTGACCAGTCGTAGCTGGAAGCGTACGCAAATATGTTTCCATTGTGATTGAAACAGCAAGCTGAAATGGGCTGATCTAACTGTTCGGAAGTTTTTAGTTTTGTTCTGGCATCTTTGTCCCAGAAGCTGAATCTACCATCAGATCCCACAGTGGCAAGGGTGCCATGAACAGGATGGAACGCGATTCCATTTACCTGCAAGGTAAATGCACAATGAGAAGCCAGGCAGAAGGGTACGGAGAAGGTTCCACCCGCGCACACTTCCTGCTTGAGTTAGGAAACAAAGCGCACAGGTACATTTCCTTCGAGCTGCCGCCCGCTGATCGCAAAAGAAACTATCCAGACTTCCTCCATCAAATGCCAGCCCAGAACCCAATCTTGCCTCCTGTAAGGCCTGCACACCAGAGAAAGTGAGCATGTGGACAGCAAGAAACAAGGAGTAGACCTCAGGAAAACGTTTCTTTTGAGCAAAAGATTTCTCAGTGTGAGCTCTGTGTGTGAGCTGTCTACCAGCACTCCTAAGGGAGGGAGAAGACTCCGGCAAAACATCCTAAGCCTGCGTTCAGAAACAAATACACAACGCTGCTAGTCGGGGGCACATTAACACAGAAAACAAGGCCGGGTACGGTGGCTCACGCCTGTAATTCCAGCACTTAGGGAGGCCGAGGCGGGCGAATCACAAGGTCAGGAGTTCGACACCAGCCTGGCCAATATGGTGAAACCCCGTCTCTACTAAAAATACAAAAATTAGCTGGGCGCCTGTAGTCCCAGCTACTTGGGAGGCTGAGGCAGGAGAATCGCTTGAACCCAGGAGGTGGAGGTTGCAGTGAGTTGATATCATGCCACTGCACTCCAGCCTGGGCGACAGAGTGAGACTTTGTCTCAAAAACAGCAACAACAACAAAAACCCACAGAAACCTGAAGCCTACAGCATAAGCCACTTATTTCCAGATATGAACACACACAAGCTCTTCAATGATGAGTCTTTTCTGATCCCACAATTCCTCAGCCACCTCCAAGTCTGGTTTCCAGATGTATCACCACGGTTAAAGTGTCTAAAAACGTACCGCATAAATGTCTTGAGGAGCTGAAGTGTTGGTTCCATTAGATCGATGACATTTAAAGGTGAAGTTATCTTTGGCACTGAAAAACAAAGGTTCATGTAAGTCTTCCTTTGTTAAAAAAAAAAGTCAGGTGAAATCTGCAAGCTGACAGAGTCACACTTACGGGTTTGGGGGGTTGATATAGTGAATAGCAACTCTCCCCTCGATACTTCCCAGGGCAAAACCAGTAGGCTTGTTCTGTTTGTCTTTAAAAATAGCCACACACCGATGCTACAGTTAAAATAAAACAGAGACATAATCACAGCGTAATATAAGATTTCATGACTAACATGAAGGTAAGTCATTTTTACCCCATGTTTAGGTTTGAGAAGAACCAGAAGAACATCACTCAAATACGATACAGCAGTAAGCATTGCTTTCTAACTCCTTAATAACTCCGTCTAAGCCGTGAGCTTATGACCAAACTGCACACCCCGTGCCCCTCCCTGCCTCCGCTGCTCGCTCTCCCTCTGCCACCCTACAAGGCCGTGTTCACACCAGCAGAGCCCCATGGGCAGCGAGGCGGAATGCCCGTGGGGAATGGAGACGTCCCTGGCTAGGCAGACACCCCTCAGGAGGTCACCTGATGCCTCTGCACCTCTGCCTCCCCAGCTGGAGGAGGGATGCAGGCTCTGCTGCACCAGTCTCACAGGGAAACAGGGTGAAGGGGACAGTGGGTGCAGTGGCCATGCTACACACAAGCAACACGCTGCACTTCGCCCAGTGTTGAGTTTGAGGGCCCAAGGGCGGGTCTCCAGTCTACAGAAGAACCCAGAGGTTCCACTACCCAGCCTTCTGGGCAGAGAAGCCGACCACCCTGAGGAGAAGCTAACTTCAGAGATACCACTTCTTCCTTCCAGTCGTGGCAACCTGCCCAAAGCCCGGAGCGCCACCTGCCCTGCCCGAGCTGGCCATCTGAGCTTCTGTGTGAGTTCAGGGGAAGCCCGGCAGGACCCAGGCAGGGGCTAGGCAAGATGAAGGGAGAAGCGCCTCTGGCGTTGTGACAGCTGCTGGGGATGCATGTTTCCTAAGTACGAAGGAAAACGGCCTGCTCTTTCATTGCTGTACTGTTTGCTCCCCCACCTTTTTAAAAATTGCCAGACCATTACTTTTGTGAGTACAAAGAAAAAAAGTAAAGCAAAGTGACAAACATCTGCAAGTTCTTAGACGACAGAAAAGGCCATGGCTGGTCCTCAGCACAGGGTCTACTGTGTGGCACACACCAGGAACTGCAGAACTCCAGGGGTGCCACTTGCACCAGGAGCCACACGCATTGGCCCTGTGCAAAGGCTGACGACAACCAGTCCTCGACAACGGAGAGGCCAGGGCGCTACCACCAGGTGGCAGGAAGTGAAGCCAGATGGGACCCACTTTTTTGGGGATTCACCCAAAAAGAAATGGGGAGGCAGGGAAGGGCTTAGGCCGCAGTCCGGCAAGGCCAGTGGTGCCACTTACAAGAGCCGCTGCCTCACCTCGGGAGGATGCCTTGAATGAGCGCCAAGGTCTATGTGCTTATTTTATTGTGGTAAGAACAGTTAACACGAGAGCCACCACTTAATACATTTCTAAGTCTACGTTATTGTTGACTACAGGTACCATGTTGTACGGCGTATTTCCAGAGCATTCTCATCTTGCTTAATGAAATTTCATCCCATTGATTAAGTAGCTCCCCATTTCCCTCTCCCCCAATCCCCTGATGACCACCATTCCACCCTTTACTTCCGTGAGTCTATGTTGGATGTCACATTTCAGTGGAATCATGCAGTTTCTTTCCGTGTCTGGCTATTTCACTTTGCATAATCTCCTTCATGGTCACCCATACTGTCACGAGTGGCAGGATTTCCTCCTTCAGGCTGCACAGCATCCTACTGCAGGTATACACCTCATTTTCTTTATCTGTTCACATGGCTATTGAGAACAGCGCCGCAAGGAACGCTAGGAGTACAGGTCTCTCTTCAAAATACCCATTTCGATTCTTTTGAATCAAGACCCATAAGTGGAACTGCTAGATCATACGGGGATTCTGTTTTTCATGTTTTGAGGCCTCCAGTTTTCTGTAACGGTTGTGGCATTTTGCATCCCCCCAATAGTGCGCAAGGGTTCCAGGTTCCCCACACCCTCCCCAGCACTTGCTATCTTTGGGCTTTCTGGTAACAGTGGTCCTGTCAGGTAGGAGATGGTATCTCATTGTGGTTTTCGTTTGCCTTTCCCTGATGGTTAGTATGTTAAGCACATTTCCATACACCTGCTGGATATTTGTACATCTTCTTTGGAGACATGTCTATTCAAGTCTTTGGTCCATTTTTCATGTTGCCAGTTTTCTTGCCATTGAGTTGCAGGGGTTCCTTATGCATTCTGGAAATCAATCCCTTGTCAGAAATAGTCTCCAAATATTTTCTCCCATTCCACAGGCTGCCTTTTCACTCTCTTCATGGTTCCCTCTGCTGTGCAGGAGCTGTTAGTTTAACACAGCTCCACTTGGCCATTTTTGCTTTTGTTGCCTGTGCTTTTTGGTGTCATAGCCAAGAAATCACTGCCAAGACCAATGTCATAGAGTTCCGATCTAAGTGCTTTCCCATATTTGAATTAGATGTGGCAGAAGGGAGGGAGAAAAATGAACAGATTCCCAAATAATTTCAGGGTGGAGGGGAGGAGACTGAGGATTAATGAGACAGGAGGGGGAGAGTTCAATCAGGGGTGACCTCAAGATTTCTGGCTCTATCAAAGGAGATGGAGGTCTCATTGAATGGGCCGTGAAGCACATCAGGAGTAACAGGCTGGTGGTGGCCATGAGGGGCAGGTTCGGATCCAATGTTCACTCTGCAAATATTTACAGAGCACCTTTTACACTTGAGGCCCTGCTCCAAGTGCTGGGAGGTGGCAACAAATACAAACAAAAATCTCTGCTCTCATAGAGTTTACATTCTAGTAGGCAAAAGAAGTGAAATATTTAGTATGTATATGACATCCATATATACACATAAAATAGATGGTACTGCTGGTAGTGGTGAGGGAGAATCCTAAGGCAAGGGTAACATTTGAATAAAGAGCCATACAACATAGTCGTGGGTTTGGCGTGGGATACTGCAGGCTCAGACGCCTGGGAGACACACCAAGGAGCTGTCCGACTGGGTGTCCCTGTCAGGAGCACAGAAATGAGGTCTGAGTCTCCAGTCCACAGGGTGTGGCTGAGCGACAGTCGATGGGAGATCAGTTGTGCTTGGGTGGAGGAGGCAGCAGCTTAGGGAGACATCTGTGGAACCTCCACATTCAGCCAAGAGCCAGCAAAGACGGAGTAGCAGCCACAGAGGTAGCAGGTAAGAGGCTGGCAAGACAGCAGCCGGGGAAATGTGTCTTGTAAGAACAGTGAGTGGTGCTCTGTTCCAGTAAGAGGATGGCTGTCCAGTGTCCCCTGGAATTACCAATGAGGATGGCACCAGTGGTCATGACAAAAACCGTTCTGACGGAACAACAGGTGCAAAGGTCTCACGAGTGAGAAATGAGTGGGAGGTAGGGGAACAAAGGACATTTCAGGCAAGATGCCCAACTGCGGAAGGAAAAGGGACCCAGGCGGTACTTGAGGAGGATGTGGGGGTCAAGGGAGGTGTGTTTTCTAGGATCAACTAGATTTGAGCAAGTGTCAGTGCTAATGGAGAAGTACTACGTGGCAGGAGAGATGGGGGAATGGGAAAGAGGTGATACTCTGCATACGGTTCCCGAGAAGTCTGGAGGGCATGGGGTCCCACCACAAAACTGGCCTTAGCAGGACGGTTTCCACCTCATGGGGGAAAAGGCAGAGGAGGAGGCAAGCACAGACAAATTTCTAGATCCGGCAGGAGAAAGAGGAGGAAGTTCCTGTTAGCTTCTTTTTTCTCTGAGCAAGAGCTGATCTGATTGGCTGAGACAAAGACTAAAGGATGGAGAAGCTGACAAGAATGCAGGCCCAGCAGCCCTGTGGCAAGTGGACAGGGCTGAGCGAAGGAGAAAAGGCTAGCAACTGTCTAGGTGTGATGCAAGCTGAGTTGAAGTCGGAAGCTAGGAATTTACAATGGAACCAACCCATCCAGATGTGTAATTTTATTCTCAAGGAAACCAAAATATTTCGCCCCAAAATAGACTTCTCTGACATATTTCAAGATGGCTATTCAGAAGGACTGGAAATAATAGCTGAAAAGCTATCTATTTGCATCTGCAGAGAAAAATGGGCACTGGTGCAGCCAGGCTTTCTCCGAGGCCCTTCCCTTGTACCGATTCAGGGAAGATTAACTGCCGTCTGATGCCGTTATCTCAGTCCTCTCCGAGGGTGCTGCCTGAGGAGCTTCCTCCACATTAACAAGACCACCTTTGCCCCACAGAACTCCTCTTCTCTTCTTCCCATAACCTGTCTTGTCACGAGAACCCGATTTACCATGAGAGCCTGTTTTGGGCCATGCCCTGAGCCCCCTTCTTGCTGTGACCTCGAGATGGTATGAAAGCATCAACCACATTGCCTTTAAGATCTTCGTAAGACGCTGTGCACATCAATAAATTTGTATGCCATTTCTCCTATTAATCTGTCTTTTGCCAGCTGGTTTTCAGTAAACTCCTTCAGAGAGCAAAGGAGAAGCTTTCCCTTGGTCCCTACAATTCAGTTGCACTCAGGCATCCGGGGGCATGTTTGGAGAAGATACAAGTTCAGTTCATCCAGGGATACCTTAGTATTACTTAGTATTCACTCACTAAGTATTTGTGTTTATATCCTTTAATTCACCCTCCTTTGAACATACTTATAGGTTTTTCAAAATACAACTGTATTCCAGATGTGAGCACAATCTTGCATACAGCAGGTGCTAAATACATGCTTCTTGATTTGACTAATGACGCACCTGATGTTTCAGGGGAGATTCTATCCTCCTGAATTCAGAAGGTTGATTCTCTAGTTGATAGACAATCAGGCCCCTCTCTGCAGTTGCCACCACAGCCATGGGGTATATCTAGGGAATAGAGGAAAACAGAGACGCAATTCAGGTGAAGCAGTATGCTGTTTTTATACTAATGTGTGTGATTAAGTTTTGGTTACAAAATTAAGTCTGCATTTTAATAATCCTGTGATTATGTTTCACTAAAACCTAGAGAAACAGTATTTGAAAGTGGAACATTCATATATTTTAAAAAGTCTTGTGTTTTAAAATTAACTATAAATTATATGGATATTTAGAAAATATACTCAGGAACTAAGAATAAATAAAAATCCCCTACACCACCCCTTCAGTTGCTCTCACTAATTGGCTAACAGTGTAGTGTATTTTATTTCAGTCTTTGTCCTCAGCATGATGCTGGGTATGTAGCATATTTCTGTACAATTCATATCCTTTACTCAAAATGTGTTCCATAATGTCCATGTCACACACTTTTTCAAGTACTAGCAGTGGCTGTCTAACGTCCCCTCAAATGAACCTACCAAAGGGTTTATTTATCTGTGTCTTGGTGGCCCCTTAGACCACTTCCAATGTTCCACTATATAACATAAAACAAAGACCAGCCAGGCGTGGTGGCTCACGCCTGTAATCACAGCACTTTGGGAGGCCAAGGCAGGTGGATCATGAGGTCAAGAGATTGAGACCATCCTGGCCAACACGTGAAACCCTGTCTCTACTAAAAATACAAAAATTAGCCGGGCCTGGTGGCACACACCTGCAGTCCCAGTTACATGGGAGGCTGAGGCAGGAGAATCGCTTGAACCCGGAAGGCAAGAGGCTGCAGTGAGCCGAGATCGTGCCACTGCACTCCAGCCTGGCAACACAGCGAGACTCCGTCTCAAAAAACAGACAAACAAACAAAAAACAAAGACCACTTCTATCTTTATTTTCTTGTGATAAATTCCTAAAAGTGGAATTACGGGACTGTTGGTACAAAACTTTAAGATGTGACTAAACAGATGGAGAAAGTTCCATTTCTTTCTTTTCTTTTCTTTCTTTTTTTTTTTTTTGAGACAGAATCTCACTCTGGCACCAAGGCTGAAGTGCAGTGGCGTGATCTCAGCTCACTTCAACCTCTACCTGCTGGGTTCAAGCAATTCTCATGCCTCAGCCGCCCAAATAGCTGGGATTACATACATGTGCCACCATGCCCGGCTAATTTTTGTATTTTTAGAGGGGTTTGTATTTTTGTATTTTTTTTGTAATTTTTGTATTTTAGATGGGGTTTCACCATGTTGGCCAGGGTGGTCTCAAACTCCTAACCTCTTGGCCTCCCAAAGTGCTGGGATTATAGGCGTGAGTTACCGTGCCTGGCCGAGAAAGTTCAATTCTATCCCACTCAGAGACAGTCCCCAAAGACCTGGTACCACCTCACAAAGTTACTGCAAGTTTTCCTACTGCCATGGAAAGGACATGATAGATATCACACTAGAGATGGCACGTAGCTAGCTGCATATGTTCAAACAAGTGGCAGGAAAATCTGACATCCAGTATTAAGTACTTCTAGAAGAAATGCAGTACAAAAATCTCCCAATTGAAGACGACTGAGGCAATCTGAACTCTATCCTTTATAGCTATTACTAAAGTTGGCAGGATTTTTACATTACCCACTAACTGCAAGATACCACAAGGTAAGAAATACTTATTTTGTTTTTTTAAAAGTAAATACATGTTAAGTTAAAATCCCTTACCACATCAGCACAGTAACACCTTTCAGGGAGTTGCAAAACCATCATAGGACTTGAGGATCGAGTATCCCAAAACTAAAAGCAAAAAAGAGAAGCCAGTATGTGACCATTCAGAGCAGAAGTCAAAATGGTGCAAGAATAAACGACAATCCTGACGGGGCCAAACAATGCCTCAATTGCACATTATACCTTTAAAGTCTTATCCCAGCTCCCAGTCATCACACAGCTGTAGTTTGGAGCTTTGATCCAATGGATGGTTTTAACAGGAGCATCATGCTTTCAACAAGACAAAAACAAAACAGGCCAAGGTAAATGTAACAATGTGCTGAATGGCTTTAGTTGTGGCAATTCAAAGGGAAGAAACTAATTTAAATACTGAGATCATACCAAACAAAAATGAAAAGATATTTAGCATTTTACCAATCTTTCCTCACTGACATAGTTTGCATGTCCCCACTAAATCCCATGTTGAGATGTAATCCCCAGTGTTGAAGGTGGGACCTGGTGGGAGATGTCTGGGTCATGGGGGCGGATCCCTCCTGTCTTAGTGCAGTCCTCACGATAGTGAGTTCTCACGACATCTGGCTGTTGTAAGGTGTGGCACCTCCTCTCGCCCATAGCTGTCTCTCCTACTTTTGCCATGTGATGTGCCTACTCCTGCTTCACCTTTCGCCATGAATAAAAGCTCCCTTGGGACTCCCCAGAAGCCAAGCAGATGCCAGCGCCACTCTCATACCACCTGCAGAACATGAGCAAACTAAATCTCTTCTCTCTATAAATTACCCAGTCTCAGGAATTTCTTTACAGCAATGCAGGAAGGGACTAATACACTCCTGATCAAAACAGTCAATTTAATATAAGAACATACATCTACCTTCCATTCCAGCAAACTTTAATTTTTTAACTCATAAGACATGTGCGAGTGAAAGTAAGCTCCTCCTTAGGGAGATACTCAGAAATAACAAGTAGGGGAGTCCACCAGTTTTACTCACTAAGGTGACATGAATTAAGAGATCAAGGAGATGTTTCTAGTACACAGCACTGTGACCTGAGTACGCAGCGCATTCCTGAAAATGTTTCAGCATTGTGCTCTTCCTGAAGCCCCCTTAGCAGGCTGGACCCTCTGGTTCTAGGTTCTCTTATCTTCATTACTTCGGCCCTTGGCATTCTTCACACAGTACCTGCCAGTGGCCCCTGAGTAATGGTAAAAGCTCCACATGTGTGGGGAAACGCCCCTCTTACTCGCTGCTCTATTACTGGCCCCTAGACAGAGAACACTTGCTGAACGAGTAAGTGACCAAATACAGTTGGCAGAAGACCAGCCATGCATGAGGTCAAAACGTCCAACCTGTGAATGTCACGGATCACCTATGACCTATCTTTCATAGATTTTAATGTCGCTAACTCCTTATGACTCCATCCATACATATATGAAGACCCATGACAAGACAATCTGTGAACACTAATTAAGAATGAAAATGGTTATAAAATTGTTATTTCTGTGCTCAAGACGTTTCTGCTATATTGTCTAATTGATTTGACAGAGTCTAACTGCACCTTTTATTATAATTATAATAATTATTTCACTTAAAGAGCCATGAGAGTCCTGGGTACCAGCTGTGCCCAGCCTTTCTGCAGAGGCTTCTGTTACCTGTGCGATCTGTATCGCTTGGTTACTGCTGAGGTCCCACATTTTGGCAGTTTTATCACACGATGCCGTAAACACTTTGCTACCATCCTAAAATAAAATGAAGAAAATTTTGCATTTTAAGGAAAATTAAATCTCTATATACATTTAGATACTAAGTTGAATATACTGAGGCAAACTTTGGCAATATTTATTTTTCCAATTGTTTGGGGACCAGTGTACTGCAAACTACAGTGTCATACAAAAAACTCATTTTCATCTATTTCATTATTGACTTACTTTTCTAAGCGAGAACATACAAACAGGATTTTAAAAATCAGAAATCACAAACTAGTGAAAACAAACTCTCTTGTCCCTGATCCCAGGTCTCCTGTCAGCAGCAACCATGGGCCACTTTAAAAATTTTTTCTTATTTTGATAAATCTTAAGCCTTCAGAAAAGTTGCAAAAATACAAAAAATACCCATAAGCACTTCACACAGATTCACTAATTGTAAACATTTTGTTACATTTGTCTTTCTCTCTATATATAAAACACATAACTCTATAATCACTATTACTTTTGTTCAGTCCCTATCTAATAACACTTCGAAGTACATGCAATAAAGCTATGCCAATTTACAATAGTCACTGGTCCTATCTAACCTGTCAAATAGATTTAAAAATTAGTGGTCACTGTCTGATAGTTTCATAATATCCACACAAAGAACTCAAAGTAGGTTTTCTCTGTCACTGCAGCTTGAAAGCAGCCAGACATATTATGTCAGTCAATGAGTGTGGCTGCATTCCAATAAAACTTTATTTACAAAAACAGTCAGTGGGTCAGGTTTGACTCATGGGCCATAGTTTGCTGAACCTTGGCCTGGACTATTTATTTCATTTTTGGTTTCAGAGCTCAAAAATTGACCACCATTCTCCTCTAGCAAAAACTTGTTCCACTGAAGTGACTTCATTTGAAAGAAGAGATAAACCTTGCTCCTCATGCTTTTAATGGCATTGTAATTCTACAAATCCTTGAAAACACAGCAAAGGAAAGGTATGAGTGTATGGAGAGGGCTGCCCTGAATCCAAGTGAACACTGGCCTCTCAATCTCATAACACTAGCCCCACCACATGTCATCAGCATTGTGGAGCAGAGCATGCCAATCTCAGTGGACAAGTGCAGACATAAAGGAGAATCCAGCAAAGCACTGGGGAGAGAAAGAGTATGTGTGTATGCTCCACCAGCTGCTCTAAGTCTACCTGCTTCAGCCGCAGAGTTTGAACCATGTCCTTAAAGTACCGAAGATTCAACTTTACCAAGTTTGGCTTGGGAGGAAGGATAGCTTGAGGCCAAGAGTCTGAGACCAGCTTGGGTAACATAAGGAGACCCCATCTCTACAAAAAATAGAAAAATAAGCCGGGTATGGTGGTGCACACCTGTAGTCCCAGCTATTTTAGAGACTGAGGCAGGAGGATCACTTCATCCCAGGAGATCAAGGCTGCAGTGATCCATGATGACACCACTGCATTCCAGCCTGGCAACAACCCTGTCTTTCTAAACAAGAGAACAAATTTAGAAAGATTAAACAACTTGGCAAAGTCAAAAGCCTGGAAGAGACAGAGCTGAAATTTGAACCCAGGCCTCAACTGGATGAGACAATGCTTAAAAAGCTATAGGCATGTGGTTTACTTTTCAAGAATCAGCTCTACTGGCAAGGCGTGGTGGCTCATGTCTGTAACCCCAGAATTTGGGGGAGGCCGAGGCAGGTGGATCGCTTTGAGCTCAGCAGTTCGAGACCAGTCTCGGCAACATGGCAAAACCCCATCTCTACTAAAAATACAAAAATTAGCTGAGTGTGGAGGTGGGCACCTGTAATCCCAGCTACTTGGGAGGCTGAGGCAGGAGAATCACTTGAACCCAGGAGGCGAAGGCTGCAATGAGCTGAGATCGCACCATTGCATTCCTGGGTGACAGAGCAACAGTTAAAAAAAAAAAAAAAAAGCTCTATTCTTGTTTTCTATAAAGCATTCACAGAAGCCTTTCCAAACTTTACAGTTGCCTTCTGTATTCTTTTTCTCACCCAGCACCAGTTCATCTTACCTCCCTCAGAATGTACAACTCTCATTCCCATGTCTGATCCTCCCACTAGATGGTATGAAACTTAGACTCAGTTTTATAAATTCCAATAGCCATTAGTTAACATTTGAGCAAAAGGATTCCTGCATCAGTTAGTTCTATTTCTTGCCATACTTTATGAGAAACTTTCTAATTCTGACCCGTCGCCCAATCAGTAAAGACAGGCAAAATACATTAGAAAAGTTTCAAATCTACTCATGCTGCTACTTTTCCATGCGTAAACTAAAAATAAGTTGCAGATGAAATGAATGCTTCAGTTTTCAAACTTTTCATGTATCTATTAATGTAGTGTCATATCTTTGATCAGGTATGTCAGGAAGACATTTTACAGATGATAAAAATGCCTTAGAGAAGCCTATCCTTGCTAATGAATGAAATGGGAGCAACTGTGGCCCCTAAACTATGTCAAAATGTTTATACACAGAATTATTTCTTATATACGAGATAAATAAGATCACATTAAAGCAGCAGTCCTCAACCTTTGTGGCACCAGGGACCGGTTTCATGGAAGACAATTTTTCCAGACTGGGGAGGGGTGAGGGTGTGGTTTCAGGATAAAACTGTTCCACCTCAGATCATCAGGCATTAGATTCTCATAAGGAAGACACAACCTAGATCCCTCACGTGCGCAGTTCACAACAGGGCTCGAGCTCCTATGACAATCTAATGCCGCCGCTGATCTGACAGGTGGTGGAGCTCAGGGAGTTAAGGCTCACTGGCCCACCATTCACCTCCTGCTGTGCAGCTTAGTTCCTAGCAGGCCATGGACCTGTTCTGGTCCACAGCCTGGGGGTTGGGGACCCCTGCATTAACGTATGGATATAAAATTAAGATGGCTCACACGTTCCCTTTAAATAAGACATCCTGATGGACTAAAGACTACCACCCTATTAGCCAGTCACGGGAGCACTATCATGTATTTGGTATTTAACTTTAGGGGTGCTGTGACTCAGTATGGCAAGAGCCTGATTCCTGCCAAACCCATTGTAGTTGAACTTATGCTGAATATTCCAGACTGACATAACAACCATAAGGTGTTAATTCTGGTTGAAGGATATAACAATTAAACAACAGACGCTCACGCTTGCACATACGCTCAATTTCAAGAACTATTTCCGATTAAATCTGCAGCCCTCCCCCAATCTGACTTTACTATCAGCCTGGGTAAACACACCTTTGCCAAACCCCAAACACAAGAGACTAAAATGCAACCCAGTCAGAACCCAGACATATTTTAACCACAAACACCCCAACAGCTACCCCCTGATTGATGTAATTTTCTAAAAAATCTTAAGACCCCCCTACCAAATAAATCCTCCATTATGTATAAGATATTAACTAAACTTCTGCCCTAATACCAATATAATACCTTGAGCATAGCCCTCTGAAAGTGCTGCCCCAATATACCATAACCCTCAGTCAACCATGCTCTAATTTATGAATAACCCTCTCAGCCAAATCTCTGCCAATTCACCTTTAAAGACCCTGAACTTCCAGAACTGTAAACAACTATTTCTTTCTTTCTCATACTTTAATTTGCCACTTAAGTATTCTATGCAGTTAATGTAGCTTAACCACTCAAAGCAAGACACTGAAAATGTCTAGATGGGTCCACACAACACCATAAACAGATAGGTTTGGTCCTGGCCTTTTTATTAGTTATTTGTAAGATTACACATGCAAACATCCCTACCCCAGTGAAAATGCCCTCTAGATCACCCGGATCAAAGGGAGCAGGTATCAAGCACGCATACACAAATGCAGCTCAAAACACTTTGCTCAACCACACCCCCACAGGAAACAGTAGTGTTAAATCTAGTAATAAACAGAAGTTTAACTAAGCTATACTAATATTTAGTGTTGGTTAATTTTGTGCCAGCCACCGTGGCCATAAGGTTAACCCAAGCTAATAGAACTTGGCGTAAAGAGTGTTTAAGGTCTGCCCTCAATAAAGCTAAACTCCATCTAAGTTGTAAAAAACTCTAGTTGAAATAAAATATACTACAAAAGTAGCTTTAATACCCTGAAGACACAGTAGCTAAGACAAGAACTGGGATTAGACACCCCACTATGCTTAGCCCTAAACCCTAATAGTTACATTAACAAAACCATTCGCTAGCGTACTACAAGCAACAGCTTAAAACTCAAAGGACTTGGCAGTGCTTTACATTCCTCCAGAGGAGCCTGTTCTATAATCGATAAACCCCGATCCACCTCACCATCTCTTGCCCCCGGCCTATATGCCGCCATCTGCAGCACACCCTAAAAAGGTTATAGAGTAAGCACAAGTACACACATCAAAACGTTGGGTCAAGGTGTAGCCCATGAGGTGGCAAGAAATAGGCAACATTTTCTACGTCCAGAAAATCTCACGACAGCCTTTATGAAATCTAAGGGCTTAAAGAGGATTGAACAGTAAACCAAGAGCAGTGTCTGACTGAATAAGGCCATGAAGCACGCACACAAAACCCATCATCTTCCTCAAATACTACTCTAGAAATCACTATTACTGTTAATTTTCTACACAGGTATAGAGGAGATAAGTTGTAACATGGTAAGCATACTGGAAAGTGCGCTTGGATAAGCCAAAGTGTAGCTTAACCCAAAGCACCCGGCTTACACCCAGAAGATTTCATCATGACCTGACCACTCTGAGTCCTAACCCCAAACCTCGCGAAAAATATTATCAAACTTTCTTAATCAAACCATTTACCTTAAACAAAAGTATAGGTGAAATTTCTATCCTGGTGCAATAGACAGTACCGTAAGGGAAAGATGAAAGAACTAGATCAAGGAATAAAAAGCAAAGATAAGCCCTTATACCTTCTGCATAATGCATTAACTAGAAATAACTTTACATAGAGAACTATGGCCAAGTCCCCTGAAACCAGACGAGGTACCCAAGAATACCTGAAAGAGCACACTCACCTATGTGGCAAAATAGCGGGAAGATTCATGAGTAGCAGTGACAAGCCTGCCAAGCCTGGTGACAGCTGGCTGTCTTAGTTCAACTTTAAACTTACCCATGGAATTACTTAATCTCCCTGTAAGTTTGTTAGTCTAGAGAGAGAGAGCTCTTTAGACTCTTCCTACAGAGAGTAAAAAACATTACCACCACAGTTGGCCCAAAAGCAGCCACTAATTAAGAATTTAAGCTCAGTATCTAACTACCTTAAATTCTAACCAGTCTACTGAACTCTTAACATCACATCAGACTAAACTATTACTTAATAGAAGCAATAACGTTAATATAAGTAACATGAAGGCATTCTCCATTGCATAAGCTTACATCAGACTGGAGTAACCCACTGACAGTTAACAGCCCAATACTAATAAATGATATAATAAACACCCTATTATTTGCACTGTTAACCCAACACAGGCATGCTCTAAAGAAACATTAGAAAAAGTAAAAGGAACTTGGCAAATCCTACCCTGCCTGTTTACCAAAAACATCACCTCTAGCATTACCAGTATCAGAGGCACGGTCTGCCCAGTGACATATGTTCAACGGCCGTGGTATCCTGACCATGCAAAGGTAGCATCATCACTTGTTCCCTACATAGGGACTTGTATGAATGGCCACACGAGAGTTCAGCTGTCTCTTACTTTCAACCAGTGAACTTGACCTATCCGTGAAGAGGCGGATATAAACAAGTAAGACGAGAAGACCTTACGGAGCTTTAATCCATCAATGCAAATAAAAACTCCAACAAGCCTACAGGCCCTAGCCTCCTACCCCTGCATTAAAAATTTTGGTTGGGGTGACCTCAGAACATAATTCAATCTCCTAACAACCTAAACTAAGACCACACTAGTCTAAGTGAGTTATTACACACTGAGCCAATAATTTGATCAACAGAATAAGTTATTCTAGGGATAACAGTGCAATTCTATTCTAGAGTCCATATCGACAATAGGGTTTACGACCTCGATGTTGGATCAGGGCATCCTAATGGTGTAGCCACTACTAAGGGTTCGTTTGTTCAATGATTAAAGTCCTGTAGCGATCTGAGTTCAGACTGGAGTAAACCAGGTCTGTTTCTACCTATTTAACATTCCTCCTAGTAAGAAAGGACAAGAGAAATAGGGCCCACTTCATAACGTGCCCTCACTCCATAGATGATGCTATCTCAATCTAATAAATCATCACACACTCTACCCAAGAGTAGGGTTTGTTAAGATGGCAGAGTCTGGCAACTGCATAAAACACTTTATAATCAGAGGTTCAATTCCTCTTCTTAACAACATGCCTATAATTAACCTTCTCCTGCACCTAAAATCCCCACTCTTATCGCGATAGCGTTCCTTACACTCATCGAATGAAAAATCTTAGGCTATATACAACTACGTGAAGGACTCAACATTGTAGGACCCTACAGACTGCTTCAACCATTCGCTGATGCAATAAAACTTTTCACCAAAGAACCCTGGCGGCCCTTACCATCTACTATCAATACCCTTTATATTACTGCTCCAACCCTAGCCCTCTCCATCGCTCTCCTCTTATGAACCCCCCACCCTATACCAGATCCTCTAATTTTAATGGAGGCCTCCTATTTATACTAGCCACATCAAGCCTAGCCATCTATTCTATGATCAGATGAGCATCTAATTCAAGATATGCACTAATCAGCACACTATGAGCTTTGGCCCAGACGATTTCATATGAAGTCACCCTAGCTATTATCCTGCTATCAGTTCTACTGATAAGCAGCTCATTTAACTTATACACACTCCACAAGAATTCCTCTGACTGCTCCTACCATCATGGCCCCCAGCCATAATATGATTTATCTCCACACTAGCAGAAACTAACCGAGCCCCTTTTGATCTAACAGAAGTAGAGTCAGAGTTAGCCTCAGGCTTCAACATCGAATATGCCGCAGGCTCATTTGCCCTCTTCTTTATAGAATATATGAATATTATCATAATAAATGTTCTAACTACTACTATTTTCCTAGGAGTACTACACACTGTATATCCGCCAGAACTCTATACCACAAATTTCATTATCAAGACCCTTCTAACCACTCTCGTCTTATGAATTCTAACGGCATACCCCCAATCCCACTACGACCAACTTGTACACCTTTTATAAGAAACTCCTACCACTTACACTAGCATTTTGCAGATGATATATCTCAATGACTATCCTAATTTCCAGCATCCCACCCCAAACACAGGAAATATATCTGACAAAACAATCACCATATGTTAATGCAACATGCTGAGTGCAAAGGTTGCACCCTACAGGACTTCACTGAGATGACATTCCTGTAAAGGCAAAACTATAGGGACAAAAAAAAAAAAAAAAAAAAAAAAAAACAGATCAGTGGTTTCCAGGGGCTGGGAGTTGGGAAGAAATTGACGAGAATCTGGAGGCCGATGGATCTGCTCTGTATTTTGAACACAACTCTATGCATTTAACACTCACAGAGCTGTACACCAAAAAGGTTCAATTTTACAGCAGGCAAATCAGACTCAATAAACCTGACTAAACGAACAGGTACAAGGCCTCGGAAGGGTCCTCACGGCTTAGCAACTTCAGCACTGCAGTGTGTCTGCCTGTCACCAGGCCCCTTACCATTCTCACTACTTTTGGGTTCAGCCACCAGGAGCAATGGCAGGAGAAGAGAAGAGAGAGGCTGGGGTGTTCAACCCCTGGCTCCCCTCGCCAGGCCAAGGCCTATCTACAGCTGTTCATCCCTTGGCTCCCCTGTGCCAGGTGGAAGACCCTCTACAGCTGCAGCACATGCTGTGCTCCAGGAGCCCCGCCCACTGCAGCTCGCCATAGGTGTTTCACCTTTCCTGCTGGCTTCTTTGTAAACTGCCGCTTAATCATTCAACTCTCCTTAATCACACACACAAAATTTAACACAAGAAAAGCTTTCAAAGAAAGTGGCTAACTAAAGCCAACATTAAGAACATTAACAAACGACTATATTTATGTTCAGAAACTTAGAATTCTTACAATATGAACACATAAATGCTATTTGTGTTTGGATTATTAAATATTCTCAGTTACTCTGTACTGTAAGTAAAAGGGTACATGAGAAACGGAAGGGAACGTACATCACTCCAGCAGACATCCAGCACAGGCCCAGTGTGCATCTGCTGGGCTTTTGGAATGGTCTGTCCACTGTCTTGAACTTCCCAGCAGCGAACCTGTAGTAACAAAAAAATTCAACGCAAACAAAGCAATTTACAATGTATTGCTTGCATTTAACACCTAAAAACTAATGGGGTACACCTTAACCATACATAGACTTCTCATAGCAACCTAATTATCTAACTTAAAGAACAAAGGAATTAAAATATCTGTGAAAACAACTGTTTTCTTATGCCTAAGCTATTAAAATAAACAAATTCTATTGCTTACACATAAAATTGCAGATAATTTTCTCACTGCATCTATGAGACATGTCTTCTTTTTTTTTTGAGACGGAGTCTTGCTCTGTCGCCCAGGCTGGAGTGCAGTGGCCGGATCTCAGCTCACTGCAAGCTCCGCCTCCCGGATTCACGTCATTCTCCTGCCTCAGCCTCCCAAGTAGCTGGGACTACAGGCGCCCGCCACCTCGCCCGGCTAGTTTTTTGTATTTTTTAGTAGAGACGGGGTTTCATTGTGTTAGCCAGGATGCTCTCGATCTCCTGACCTCGTGATCCACCCGTCTCAGCCTCCCAAAGTCCTGGGATTACAGGCTTGAGCCACCGCGCCCGGCCAGAGACATGTCTTCTAAAGTAGAATATCACTTACCCATTACCATTCTCTGAATGGTAAGACCAAAGTAGAAACTTACCTCTTTTCTGAATACATTTTTATAAAATCTCCCGTCCGTTAAAAAAGTAATACATTTTAAGAGATTTTGTAAATATGGCAAAAAAATAAAAATCACCCTAATCACACCACAGATAAACACAGCTAATGGTTCTGTGTGCTCTTAGTCTTCTTTCCATGTACACATATTTTCTGGAAGACACTAGATCACACAGTATCTTCGCTTTTGCAGCTACAGCTTTCCTCCTGCATCACCAGCCTGTTCAACTTTAAACATCCTTTTTCGGAAGCAGCAAATCATCTGAAATCTTTCTAGAAATTACACGTAGAACGCAAGCTTGCTCAACCTTGACTACCATCTTTCCTCCTGTTCTCCTAACCCCTGCTGCCCCTGTGCTGTAGGCTACAGTTTGAAAACTTTTCCAAAAACTTACAATGGTATTCCATCATACAAACACACCATAAATTGCCATTACTATTGGATATCAACATTTTCAAAATTTTCACTAGCATTATGGTTTTTTGAGAGGCAGTACCAGGCACTGGCTCACTAGAAGCATGGGCCTGAGCCTTACTGTGCGTCTGCGGCCTCTGGTTTTGCCACCCACTCAGATACGTAACCCGAGGCCAGTTATTCTACTTCCCTAAGCTCAGCATCCTGATCCATAAAATAGAGACCAAGTTCCCAGTGCTTTGGCAGTTATAAAGGTTAATTTAGACAATGCAGATGAAGTACATTATCAGGTTTCCTACTCAAGTCTCAGAAGGGTATCAATGAGATAAAGGGTATAAGCTTAAGGATTTTTGATAACTATTGCCAATTATCCTGTGGAAAAGCTCTGCCAACTCACATACCTACCAGTCATACATGTAGGGTTTCAGCTTATCCTTGCTGGCACTATTATTCTTTTCAACTTTTAATTTTGTTAATTTAATAAAAAAAGAGTCTTAAATTTGCATTTTTCTGATTACAAGTATGGATGAATGGTTCACGTTTATTCTTACTTTTGTGAAGCCCCTCTTTACACCCTTTGCTTATTTTTCCACCAGAGTTTTCTTTCTTTTAGTAAATTGTAATTTTTTTGTCTTTCTTTTTGTACACGATAAGTAAGTATTTAGGCAGATCTGTGCTATTATTTAATGTTGAAAAAGTTTAACACATGCCTGAGGAACACTGTCAGGATGCCAAGAAGGGGAATTTGTTGGTGTGTGCCACTGGGTATAATGTTCACTCTGGATAAGTATGACATTTTATTTAGGAATAAACTTCAAGAGATTGAACTACAGTAGAAAATTTCGAGCAATACATTTTTGCGCTTTCCTAACAAAAACCAGTGTAAGAACAAATAATGTCTGCCATTCAGAAGGGTTCACACCCCTAAATTGATTTCTTTAAAAAAAAGGCCATAAATAAGTCTAAGTAACTGATTCATTTACTTGGGAAACAACAGAGCTAAAGCTGACCTTGCCCATACAAAGAGAGATGATTTATAGAACACATATTTAAGGAGCACTTACATCATTAGCCCATGATCCTGCAATAAGAAAGTTCCCCGGCAAGGTTGGTGGGCTAAAAGATAGACAACCAATGCTATCATCAGGAGATGATGTTACTTCAATATCCTGGGGGAAAAAAGTCAATGTTAAAATGTATGCAAACTCACAACTTAATTCAAAATGGTTTTCTTTCTCACTAATTACCTCACGGTGGCCTTCCCTTGTGCTCAAGAACTAACTGAATTAGACCTTTCCTTACTATGATCAAAGAGAGCAGTAAAAAATAAGCTGGAGAAAGCACCAGCACCACCAGGACTAGCAGCAGCAGCTGCTGATGAAATGCCCATAGTCTCGTTTTCTAAATGACCAGTTCACTCCGGCCCCACAGTGCTAGATCATAGTTTTCACCTGCCCTCCCTTCTCCCCAGCCATGGGAATTCTGAGTCAACAGTCCTGGGCCAGGCCCTGGGAATCTGCACTGGAATCTGCACCTTCGGTGATTCTGGAGACCTGGCAGGCCAGGAAGAACAGGACACTAGTAGAGGGGACACATTTTCTGTGCTCCAGTGTTTGAGAAAGATGAGTTAGACAAAGTTTCAAAGCTTTTGGCCCAAAGGAGGCTCCCACGTCATCTCAGGTTCTATCCTTGATGGGAGAAACTCTGGCCAAACTCTTCCTACAAGCCCCAGGAAGCTTTTCGTGGTACCTTCATAGGGTTGTGATTGTCTGTGGTTGCGCTGCCAAACATGCTGGTCCCACTGGTTCCAAAACCTGAGGTTGTTCCAAACAGGCTCATTTTGACCCTAAAAAATAATGAAACATGTTAAGGGTGGGTTTTCTCTTAAGTAATATCACTGAGAGGCAATGGTAAGATAATTAACTGGCAGAAGAGAAATACTCAAAGTGGCTTGAGGCTAGGCTTCACTTTTCAGACAAGATTCATACATGCAATGAGCAGAGCGCTTTCAAAAAATAAACCTTCTATTTTAGAGTAGTTTTAGGTTTCCAGAAATAGTAAAGATAGAATTTCCATACACTCCATATCCAGTTTCCCCTATTATCTCATATTAGTATGGTTCATTTGTTACCATTAATAAACCAATATGGATACATTGCAGATTATTTTGTAGTCACCAGCTAGAAAATACATTCACTCATGTTTTACATAGAGATACTGAGCTGTGCATCAGGAATACAACAGTAAACAAGATGGCAGGTCCCCGTGCTTTCAGGTTTCCACCTACTGGGCATTCACTTTCTTACTAATTTCTGAATTCTGGTTTATGTCAGTATCTCCATGAAACTACCTAGAACCACCAGTCCCGGCAGCAAATGGGCAATTTCTTGGTAAAAGTTTTAAAAAGGTCTGGCATCGTGTTTTGGATATTTACCCAGCAAGAACCTCTCCCACCCTGGGTTTTTTTCTGGGTATCATAATCTAACAGGCCCACCAGGGTTTGGCCATGGCCTCTGCCACTCAGGAGTTGGGACTCTGATCTCACCAGTCTTCATCTTCCTGCTCTGCAAACATAGAGAACATTAACACCTTCTCCAGGGCTGGTCTGGGGATCAAATCAGATTATGTAGAAAATGCAGTGTCTAGTTCATAGCGGGTACAATAAACGACTTTTCCTTTCTTTCTTCCAACTCCCCGAGGAGTTACATACACTGAAGCCACATTTCAATCCTGCTACCCGTTACACTGAGAAGTCCTCCATACAAGTCACTTCTCCAAAGGGAGACAAATGGCTGAGTGACATCCTTGCTAACAAGACAACACAGAACGGAGAAACTGCAAGGAATTTGGGGAAGGCATTTGAGTTTCCTCAGCTTCATGAAAAATAAGTGCAGAACAAAAGGTGAAAGCAACAGCTACAAGCACATGTATGTTTTAGTGAACGTGAGGGGATGTGGTGCTTGCCGACCACATTTCTGCCCTCAAACGTAGAGGTACTTGAAACACCAGTTAACTGTATGAACGAACGAAGGCAAAACAAGGCTTCTGCAATCAGTCCAGGTGCTGGCTACATGGCTTTGGACAGGTCGCTTAACCTTGATTTTCTCATCTGTAAAACAGAGACACTAATGTCTACTTCAGAGTTATGAGAACTAACTGAAGCCACACACACAGTGCCTAAAACACTATAGGTTCTTAATAAATGTTACTTTCACTCTATTCCTCTACCTCAACCTTCAAGTTGGGAGAGAACATCTCTGCCATTAGGGATGAACTTAGGGAAAAGAACATGGTAGGTGAGAGTCGTTCGTGTTAGTCAGTGTGGACCACACCTTATGCTGAGCACTGGGAAACTTTCAAAGTTCAGAAGGCACACGCATCTGTGGGACCCACCTAATCATTTCTTCCCGCTCTCTACTGCCTTGCTGCACCCCAGCCCTCCTAGCTCTGCTGGCTTCCTTTCTCTCCTGAACACAGCAAGTTCATCCCTGCCTTGGAGCAAACCTAGTGCTGTTTCTTCAGCCTGGGATGGTTTGTTTCCCCTTCCCCACAGCTACCTCCGTTTTAATCTTCATATCCCAGTGCAAAAGTTGCCTCCTCCGAACTTTTTGGGGTCATGAAAATGTCCCAAATTTGAAGTTGTGATGTTTACGCAACTGCATAAAATTTCCAAACTCACAATGTACTTTAAATGGCTGAAAGGGTTATACTTCAAAAAAGCTGTCACACGTATTCTTTAATTACCTCCTCAGAGGCTTCTCTGCCAACTTTAACATATCTAACCTTCCACCACATCCCCTTGCTTTCTTCACAGCACCAGTCATGACCTGGAATTTCTTGTTTACACTCAATCTCTTCCCCACCAGAATGCAGGTTCCAAGGGGGCAGCCACTTGCCTGGATTCTTCCCTTAATGCATGCTCTGTCCCACAGTAGAGTGCCTGGCCCAGGGCGGCTGGTATTTAATAATACTTGCGGGGAGAAGTACTGCCTGTATAGTTGCACCTATATACGTATACAATAAATACTCGGCGGGGTAAGACAGAAACAGACTTAGTTTCAGAGACTGGTAACTGCTCCAAAAGAAATGAAGCAGGTTGACGTGGAAGAGGCTAAAAGGGGATGCCCTTCTGCAAATCGGCCAGGGAAAGCTTCTCCGAGGAGCTGACATGTATCCGACGAGAGGCCAGATGTGTAAGGCGGAGGGGCGGAGGCGACAGACACTGCATTAACGCAATGTGACCCTTCCCAGGGCCTCAGCTCCCCCACAAGAAAAACGATTGATTAGACCCTAGGTGACCCCTAAGGCCACTTTCAGCTCTGACCTCGCTTCCAGGATCCAGCAACGAAGCTTAGGCAACAGTCCCGCTCGCGCCCCAGCATCCCGCAGAAGCGCGCTCCCCGGAGGCAACTGGGCCTCTGCGGGCGCCATGGTGGCGGGTAACAACGGGATGCGCGCGGCACGGGGCCTACCTGGGGATCTCGCCGCGGCGGAAAGCGGCGGCCGGGAGCAGGAGGGTCTGAGGAGTTTGCGAACCTGCTCCGGCGCGGAGGACGAGGGCGAGGAGCGTGGACAGAAATCCCAGGAGCCCGAAACCTCCTTAAGCCGTCGGTAGACACTGCCCTGACTACCGCGGAAACAACGCGCGTGCGCCCTGGAGCCACTTCCTGCGTCGCCCGGAAATCGTCGATGAAAAAGGCTCCTTTCCGCAAGGCTACAGCACATGCGCAAAAACGCTTTACACCAGCAGTTTGCGAATTGGTCCAAGGTTGGTGTAGCCGCTGCAAGTTGCTAAGCGACTGCTTTTATAAATCCGCAACTGGTCGGGCGCGGTGGCTGACGCCTGTAATCCTAGCACTTTGAGAGGCCGAGGCGGACTGATCACCTGGGGTCAGGAGTTCGAGACCAGCCTGGCCAATATCGTGAACCGCCCCTCGCCCCCGTCAGTACTAAAAATACAAAAATTAGCCGGGCATGGTGGCGGGTGCCTGTAATCCCAGCTACTTGGGAGGCTGAGGCAGGAGAATCGCTGGAACCCAGGAGACGGAGGTTGCAGTGAGCCAAGACCATGCCATTGCACTCCAGCCTGGGCAACAAGAGTGAAACTCCGTCTCAAATCAGTCAATCAGTCTGTAACTAGGGCTAGTGCAAGGTAGCCAGCTGTTTTCTCTTGTGAATTAATTATTGCATTTATCATGTATAAACATCTAAAATACTATGATTGCTGCCAATTCAAGTCCAAGGCCATCCTCTGAGAAGCTGCTCTAATGCTGCCTCCGAACGAGGCAAGACTGGTTGGGAGTTTCCTGCCCTGGCCTCTCTGTTTGCCCACTGGGGTACCCTGAGCTCACCTCGGGGCTCTTTGGGCCTCAGTTTCCTGCTGCATGGTAGAGAAAATGATGCCTGGGCTGTTCCTAATTAGGGTCAAGTGAAATCACAAGTGAACTACTCTTACTAATAGAACATTCCGTAGAAATGTTAAGGGATTCTTACTACTCACACACATGCCCACTCCAAATGTTTGAGCTGGTTGGTTCCTCCCAACCCCCACTTTTAGGAGTGTCTGAAGAAGAAAGGGAAAGAAAAGACCACAAGGAAGGGATTTCGTGAGGTTACGTAGGTACCATGGATCCTCTCCTTCACTACTTAGCGTGGTCTGTGTGCCTTGGCCTCCTTAGGAAGCTTTGGGATCTGGGGTATCTTCTTATAAAATGCAGATTCAGTAGGTCTAGGATGGGCCTGAGAATCCACATTTCTACCAAGTCCCCAGCTGAGATTGCTGGGCCACAAACCACAGTTCCGTACCAAGGCTGTAGATCATTTAGAATCCTGGGTAGCTTTTTAAAAACTGTGATGCTTAGACTGCACCCTTAGAGATTCTGATTTAGTAGGTCTGGGCTAGAACAGAGGAAATCAATATTTTTTAAAAGCTCCCCCGGTGATTCTAAGATGCAGTCAAGATTGAGAACCTCTAGTCTAGACGATGATGGTAATAATAGCTCTTTTGAGCATCAGCCTATGCTAAGTGCTTTAGATGCTCCATCTTATGTAGTTTCCAGAACAGCCCTAAAAGATAGGTATTGCAATTACCTGCATTTTATAGATATGGAAAGTGAAGTTGACAGAGGTGATGTGACTTACCAGAGCTCACACAGTTGATACACAGTAGGTCCAATGAGATCTGTCCTGTGCCTGACCCTCCTACCAGCAAAGCTTTGGACTCATCTCTGAGAAATGCTTCTTCTTCAACTACCTTTTCTTATCCTTTTTTCAACGGAACTCCTCTTACTATCTTTCCTTTAAACTCTCGAAAGCCCTCTCAAAGTTCTCTCAGGATTTCAAGGCATATTCTGCCTCATTAAGTAGTGTATTTGTCTTGTCTAGATTCCCAGATTTAAAACTTGTATCTACTTCCATGGTATTTGCATGGTATATGCTTTGCAGCACCAAGCAGAGTATCTTACACGTGTTCATTATTAATACTTGTTGCATTTTATAGTTCAATGCCCAAGGTATCTTCCAGAAGTCTCTATTATGATACAGACTCCTCTGTAATCCTGGTTATTCAGCATACTCTATAAACTCTTCCCGCTGTCTAGGGTATGTAGTTGACAAACTGCTTTTGCATATACCATCAGTGGAACCACTAAGGAGCAGTATGCTCGCCCAAATATTATAGCTAATATTCCAAGACTCTTGTTACATGAATAATCTCATTTAATCCTCACCATGACCCTACCAAGTCATTATTATTGTTGTTACTCCTATTTTATGGTTGATGAAACTGAGATCAGGTTGTAAATTGTCCCAGCCATAGAGGCAATGAGTAGAGGCAGAATTGGAATGCAAGCAGCCTGCCCCAAAACCGAACTCTACACTTCCACAGGTGGCAGATTATGCTGATTTATGTTTTCCCTCCTAGAAACAAAAAGGGAGAGCAGTAATTTTTTATTTATTTATTTATTTTTTAGATGGAATCTTGCCCTGTCGCCCAGGCTGGAGTGCAGTGGCACAATCTCGGCTCACTGCAACCTCCGCCCCCAGGACTCAAGTAATTCTCCTGACTCAGCCTCCCCAGTAGCTGGGATTACAGGTGCACACCACCACGCCTGGCTAATTTTTGTATCTTTAGTAGAGATGGGGTTTCACTATGTTGGTCAGGCTGGTCTTGAACTCCTGACCTTGTGATCCGCCCACCTTGGCCTCCCAAAGTGCTGGGATTACAGGCGTGAGCCACCATGCCCTGTGAGATCAGTAAAATTTTGTCCATGGGTATGATTGTATGATTATTGATCCATACAATATAGGTGAAAATAATTAAACAATAGAAAAATAATTAAATTTTGGTAGTGACTATCGTTCAAACTGGTAAACTTTTCTGCCATTTTTACACAGGGAATATTTATGAATAAGTACAGTTTCTATTTAATTGCTAGGTGAATGGAAACTGAACATGCCTATATTCTTAGCATGAGTTACTTTTCATTTTGAATTTTTAATAAGAGATGTACTATGTTGGCTTACAGTTTTGTGAACAGCTTGGTTGCAAAGAAGCACACATTAAGTGTGGCTTTACCGGGAATTGGGGCATCCAAAGCGGATTAACAAAGCAGATTCCTGTTGAGTGTATCACACAGAAACCCTCTTGGTTTTCCCCAAACTCTTTTGTTGTGACTCAAGACTCTTTCACCCCATTCCTTAAGATAATGACTTGAAAACATTTCAAAGAAATTTCCACCCAAAATAGTGGAAGGAGTTGAGAGCACAGTGAGCGTTTGCCAGCAGAGGGCGACCTTGGCTTGTTTCTACAGGATTGTTTACTTGGGATACCTATCTGTGTAACAGTGAACAGAAGTTCATTTAGCAAACAGAAGTACACGTTTCTCAATATTTCACTACAAAAATATTCCGTCGAAAATCTTTTAATGTACATGTATATACAGCTTAGAAAGTCTGTTCTTTTCAGCAGCACTGAACAGATTATCTACATCAAACTAGCGGCTCAACTGAGACACTCAGTAAGGAATTCGTAGATGGAAACCCTGGAGGATTTTCCTTATTTTTGTAAAGTGCACTATGGTTTTTCTTCCCTATGAACTTATAACTTCTGAAATCACTTAGTATCACCAATGATTATAATCTAATTTCTCAGAAAACGGGGGGTATTACAAGCAGCTTTTACTTTGTTAGGGTCATTATGAGCCCTTCAGGGAAAACTAAGAGTTTCTGGGCACCTTTTTGTTGTACTGGTTTTTGTTGTTATTGTTGTTTGAAACAAAGTCTCACTCTGTCACCCAGGCCGGAGTGCAGTGGTGCGATCATAGCTCACTGCAGCATTGAACTCTTGGTCTCAAGTGATCCTTCCACCTCAACCTCCCAAGTAGATGAGACTATGGACGTGTGTCACCATGCCCAAGTAATTTTTAAAAATTGAGATGGGAGTCCCATTATTTTTCCCAGGCTGGTCTTGAACGCCTGGGTTCAAGCAATCCTCCTCCTGCCTGGGCCTCCCAAAGCTCTGGGATTACAGGTGTGAGCCACTGTGCCTGATCTTGTTGCATTCGTTTTTAAAAACTTTAATTACAAAGATTCCAATCTAATGTTCTTTCTTGATTAAAATTATGGAAGTATCCAAATTAGATACAGTAGATGATGGTAGATGGGATGACTGTTATCAGTTACCATTTTAAATGCTAAGTATTATGGTAATCCTTTTTAGAAAGAAATCTCTAGAATTAGAATTCTAGATGGTTCCCAAATATCTACTAGCATTAATTTTTCATTTTCATCTAATAAAGATAGGTAGTAACGTCAAACTATACATAGTGCTCTCCTTCCATTTTTGTTTCCCAAATAACTGAAAATTATTTTAAGTAAATTTGCAATAATAAACTTAAGATGACTTAATTATCCAAACTGGAGGGATCTGTCTTTTTCAAATTTATTTTTAAATTTGAATGACTATCGTAGATTTGTGACTCCTTCCCATTTTGATAGTATATCCTAAGCCAGATGTGTTGTGGGTTAAACATATTTTTAAATTAGTAATTTCTTCCTTTACAAAGCATACCAAAGTTCAGTGACACTGTTACATGTTAAAGGAGTAAGTATGGTATAAATTCAGAGGAAATTTTTTCTTATTTATAAAAATGTTTTTACAATTTTTGACAGTCTCACGAGTAAGTAAAATTAACAGCATACCAGAATGTTTTCAAAATGAAATGTTTGGTTCCTATGTGACCAGGGAATATAACATATTTGTTAATTGTACATATGGTATCGGGGGATCTTGATTTGACACTAGCCAACAATAAGACTTGCAGACCTTTCCCCGCAGTGTGCACACAGACCACACGTGAAGTACTTTACCTGTACTAGCACCATGGTACCCAGACTTTCTGGGTTTAAGTCCCAGCTCCACTGCTTATTAGTTTTGTGACCTTGGGAAAGTTATTTAACCTTTCTGTACCTTTGTTTTCTCACCTGTAAAATGGGGATTTTTAAAAAAGTACCTAGCTTATAAGGTTTCTATGAAGATGCAGTGAATTATTGTTTGCAAAGCACCTACAAAAATACCTAGCGCATAGCAAGTGCTATGTATGTATTTTCCTTTATCATTATATTACCTTATTTAGTCCTTACTACATACCTCTCGGGCAGGCCCAGCCTCACAGGTGTACAACCTGTGAAGTCACCCAGGACCCCAGACTAAGAAGGGCCTGTGCTTGGTTTAATTCTCTGCTGCTATCATCTTGAAATTCTTAATAAAAAGGGATCCCACATTTACATTTTGCATTGAGACCCACATTTTCTTGAGGTAAGTAGTAGTATTGTCCCCTGGTATTATTGTGGCTTTGGACAAATAGCATCCTCAGTGTTCTCACCTGTAAACCATGGTGTAGTGACAGAGTAATTACAAGGTCC